CCTGGTCCCAGCAGGTCTACTGAATAAACCTACCCCTTACCTGAATACCACGTGCGTGCTGGTGCTGTTCTTACTCGGCTACCTCTTTTTAAAAACCTAACATAAATGGTGCCGTGACTCGGATAAAGGCTTATAGTCAGGAAAGCTGGGATTTCTCTGTTTTTTTCCTCTTTTTTCTTTTTTTTGTTCTTCCCTTTTTGCTCTGAGGAATACCCGCAGTTCTGACGGCCTTTTGCGAACTTGTCTGTCTGCGGCGGAATCAGCGCATCGATACCATTGCTGCCTTCACATTCACGTCCACACCACTTCTCTACTCTGGTGAGTGAAACTACTCTACGGCTCTCTGTTGCTCAGTCTCTGTCCAGACGTGGCGCCACGCCAGAGAGCTCCTACGGCCTTTAGCTGAAAGGCCGGTCACCTCTGAAGCTGAGGACGCTTGGTTTTGGGGGCTTGGCCATTTCTCTCTAGAGGGCTCTGGGGGAAGTCGGGACGCCGCTTCTGCCTGGTCAGCTCTCCTTCACTCACCAGACTGACTCTACTCATTTAATGGGGTGCTACGAATCACGCCTGAGCCGTGAAACCCCTTTGAAATGTCTCCTGCGCTCCCTGGAAAGCCAGAGAGCCTCATTTTTATGCCATTCTCAGAAGTACAGTTTTTGCTACTGCAATGGTAAATGATCAGAAGTCTGTTTACTTTCAGGCTCTCTTTGCTCTCTCTCTGCCATTCATGTCCAACTTTCCCTATCTCTCCCTTTCTCTTTTCTACATTTTGGCTTGTGTCCTGAAGAGTGCGACGCAGGCTGGGTCCCAGGGACCGCCCTCTAGGTTCCCTCTCAAAGGCTAGCCAATGTAGGCTTGATCTATTTGTTCAGGCTTTCTTTGCATTTTTTCAGAAATTCGCCATCTTGAATTCGCCATCTTGGCCACGTGGTAGGTTAAGGGTTTGGCTCCATCTGACCCTTAACCTTCCACTAAGTTTACTACTCCATCTATTCTAAGGTGCCTTGCTAACAAGTTGCTCTTTTCACAGGCCCTGGTAACGGAGGCCCAACCATCTGATATGCTTTGTTAGCAAAGATGTCTAAATGTTGTCGAAATTTTAGGTTTTGAGTTTTGCCTTTTTTGTTTTGTGTTGTATATTCTACTACTGACTACATGGTTCTAAAATACTGGGCATATCTATGCTAAAATTCTCATCACATCTAATGAGTTTTGTTATTTCAGAATATTTGTTGGTCAATTCTTGATAAGAACCAGGTAAGCTCTACTTATTCTACTTGATCTCCTTGTTGCTTTAATTGGAAATAATAAAGGGCTTTTGTGGCAAAGATTTCGGTTCAAAGCCAGTCCAGGCTGAAAAATCCCTAAGACTCCATCTCCCAACTAACCTGCAAAGAGCCAGGCTGGAAGCATGGCTCAAGACTCTTATCTCTAACCACCCAAATACTGGAAGTGCTATTGTAACTCAATGTGGTAGAGCACTAGCCTTGAGCAGAAGTGCTCAGGGACAGTGCCCAGGCCTTGAGTTCAAACCTCCTTGAATATTAGTGGTACTGTAACTCAAAGTGGTTCAGTGCTAGCCTTGAGCAGAAGTGCTCAGGGACAGTACCCAGGCCTTGAGTTCAAATCTTGAATACCAACTGGGACAAGCCATCCCAGCAACGAGCACCTAGACTCAGCCAGTCTGGGGAACAAGGGAACATGGAGAAGAGTAAGAGGAGATAATGTCACATCAGCTACTTTGTGCCTGCCCTTTCAAAATTAACCTGAGCTGGGAGGTCAGTAGAAGTAAGAAGCGTGCCCATCTAGTGTCCATACCAGTCTACCTATTAACTGGACAGGAATTTAGATTCTTGCCTTTGTCACCTGACTTCTCCACCTAGTCGCCCGATGTCAGAAGTAGCTAGGGACGTTTCTAACAACATTTTCAGCTCAAGTCCTTCCTCTTGCCATTTATTTGCTCTCTAGTATTTTTTTTTCCAGCCCCTCAATGCTCATGAGACTTCTCCAGACTTCACCTAAGGACTCACACCACCAAGGGACAGCTGCTGCTCACTGCCTTCTCTGGGAGGAGACCAAATTCCAGCCTTTTACCCCTATTGTCGACGCCCCTTGTCAGCAGGAAGTAGCCAGAGAGAATCCTCGCCCTATTTCATGATTATTAAAAGGCTGGAATGTAAGGTCCGCTCCTGGATGGCAAGCAGACTCCACCCTCCTGGCAGCAAAGTCTCCACCCATTACCTGCGTTACCTAGGCAACTGGGACACCTGGAAGAGGTCACATCTGCATCCGCTGAGGTCACATCTGAATTTGATGTGGCCACACCTTTCCCCGCCCATACCCTACATAAGGCCTAGCCCAGGCCCAGACTCTCGCTCTTTCTCTCTCTGTTCGTTTCTAGCTCTCATGCTCTTCTTTTCTAGCTCTCTTGCTCTTGCTCTTCTAGCTCTCTTGCTCTTGCTCTTCTTTTCTAGCTCTCTCTGCTCTCTCTGTGCTCTAGCTCTTTCCTCTCTCTTTCCCAGCCACGTGGAGTGCCAACCTTGCCTGGTCCCAGCAGGTCTACTGAATAAACCTACCCCTTACCTGAATACCACGTGCGTGCTGGTGCTGTTCTTACTCGGCTACCTCTTTTTAAAAACCTAACAATAAGTAAATATAAAAGTATTGGGGGTTTCACGAAGTCACTTCAGCAGAAGGAATTGTTTGTAAGAGATTTGCAAGAAGCTGTAGGTGCGGCTAGAACAGAAAGAATGTATGGCAATTGCTGAGATAACTACTTAGGAGAAAGAACTTCCTGTTTCTTTCATTTACTAAGAGACTTGCTAGATCTAGGCCTCGTGACCTTACTATTAAAGAAGGAACAGGAAAGATCTTATGGGACAGTTAAGGCCTCTATAGAAATAAGGTAATGGTTAGTTGGTGACAAACATGGAAACCCATTATATTTCTTAGAGATAAGCCGGAAACAAGTGCCTATCAGGCGACCAGCTGGTGACCACCCAAGAATGAAGCCCTGCAGCAAGATTGTGTAACCTTTTGCCCTTTCTTATGGAGACTTTTGCTATAAAAGTTTGTTATCCTCTGCATTAAATCGCACTCAGCATCCACTCCTCTTGTGTGTGAGTTGTCTGATTGCCATCTCCCCACCTATTCAAGTTCCTCCACTAGGTGTCCTCTGTCATCCCGACAGAGCCGGTCCACGGCAAAGAATCTTAATGAGGAGGATATATGTAATAATAACTGTGGCTGCCATTCATTTAGCCCATCACTTTTTTTTTTTAGTCAGTGGTGGGGCTTGAACTCTGGGCCTGGGTGATGTCCCTCAGCTCTTCAGTTCAAGGCTAGTGCTCTACCACTTGACCCATAGCCCACTCTCTGTTTTCTGGTGGTTAATTGGAGGTAAGAGTCTCACAGGCTTTCCTGCCCAGGCTGGCTTTGAACCATGATCCTCAGATCTCAGCTGCCTGAGTAGCTAGGATTACAGGCAAGAGCCACTGGTGCCTGGCTTGTATGGTTGCCGTGTTTGACTGAGTTCAGGAGGCCAGGCATTTAACCTCCCTGGACCCTCTGTTTCCTGGCCGGTAAAGTAGAGCTTTACCTGTCTTCCAAACCAGCAGAGTACAGCTAAAATTGGGCTTGTCAGAGCCAGAAGCCAATGACTCATGCCTGTAATCCTAGTTACTCAGGAGGCTGATATCTGAGGATCATGGTTCAAAATCTGGGAGACTCTTATCTCCAATGAACCACCAAAAAACCAGATGTGGAGCTATGGCTTAAGTAATAGAGCACTATCCTTGAGCACAAAAGCTCAGGGTCAGTGCCCAGGCAGGCCCCTGTGTTCAAGCCCCGGTTTATCATAGGAAAAAAGGATAGGGTGGGGCTTGTTCATTTTTTGACCCATACCTCTATCCCACCTGGCCTTCCTTGGGTCAGCTGTCAGGTGCTGTGGCAAGGGATGAGTCATCTTTTCATTTGGGGAGGGCTGTGGGAAGAGGGTCTTCCAGAGGTGTCGTTCCATGGGTCTGGGTGCTCCTGCTTGTTTCTCCCTACTCCATGCCATCTCTTCCCTCTGCCCTCTGCTTTCCCCTGGCAGTGGGCAAGGCAGGTGACTGCTCCTGCCACCAAGGCCCTGCCAGGGAACAATGGGCCACATTAAGAAGGGCTTCCAGGCGCCATGCCAGAGGTATTAAAGGGACATTTGATGACTTTTAACCTGAATCATCAGGTTTCGTACTCTTTCATTCTGCAGCAGGTAAAGGGCATGAAAACCTAGGTATGGATTTCTACCCCTGGCCTTGTGGGGTTCTCCTTGTGGTGTTAGTGTGCCTCTTTTACCCCAACCCTGCTTTCAACCCTTACTCTCTCAGTGTGTATCTGTGTCACTCCTCACCTCCCCTCATTCCCAGTTGGTGTTGGGCTGTGTGTATGTGTGTATGTAGTGGCTATAAGACACCATTTTGGAACCCACAATTGCTCCGCTCCGTGTCCTGTCCCTCCTTCTCCCTTCTACCCTCCTCCTCTCCTCTCTGTGCCAGTCCTGGGACTTGAACTCAGGGTCTTGGCACTGTCTCTGAGCTTCTTTCTGTTCAAGGCTAGCACTCTACCACTCGAGCCACAGCATCACTTCTGACTATTTCTATTTATGTGGTACTGAGGATTCAAACCCAGGGCTTCATGTATGCTAGGCAAGCACTCTATCACTAAGTCACATCCCCAGCCCTGTCCTGTCTCTCTTAACTTTTTCCTTATCAGATGGGCAGCCATCTTTGACTTGAATACACCCCAGTGAGGGGGGAGGGGGTCTCACTCAGTTTAGCTCAGCAGGGCTTAGGTAATCTGCTGTGGCCTATAATGACTTAGAGGGTCTTAATTATTTCTGTCTCCTTCTGTATCTTTCCTGGCAGGTAGAATTCATCTCTGTCTTTTAGAAATGCTTATAGAATATAATTTGTACAAGCATAGTGACATGGATGTTATGGTGTATTTGTCATTTTCCTAAGGCCTTCCCAGGAGTGAAGTACTGTTGAAGGAGTCTTCTCAGGACAGCCTCTACAGTGAGCCTTTGGCTGGGGAGAGAGGATTCCCAAGATCTACCCTCTGAACCTTGCACTTCTTTTGTCTCTGGACCAGTGTGTTGCCTGTGATCATTTAGTCCAGAGCCTAATTTAGGCTCCAGTATAGCCACGCGCTTCTGCCACTATAGTATGTATTGCTGCACATTCATCACCTGAATATGCTGTGTTTCAATAAAGCTTTATTTGCCAACCCCTCTTCTGATTTCTTCCTGGTAGAAGCCCTGCATTGTGAGGTGGGGGCCATCCTGAACTGTTTGACTCTGGGTAGACCCTTGAACTGGCAGAGCCTCTGTGTCCTTATCTGTACTTTGTGTGAGTTGGGAGAGTGAGTTCTAATGTTCCTGCTTCAGCCCTGGGATTTCAGTTAAGATCTGAGTTCCCTATTGAGTCTGGCCCAAGCTTTGATTCAGACTCCACCCATTTCTCTCCTTCTACCCTGTCCTAGCTTTCCTGGATCCCAGCTCAAGGCTCCCAGCTCCTCTCCCCACCTCTGCTGGAATCTCAGTCCATTCTTAACACCCAGCCAGAGAATGCATTTATGAGTAAAATCAGAGGCTCCTATCTCTTTTCTAAGATTCATTAGTACCTTGCAGCTACTGCTCAAGTTGAAGCTCCTGCTTGTCTGGCCCCTGCATACCCCTCCAGCCTCATTTTGTGTGTGTTGGTTGTGTTCACCATCACACTCCAGCCTGTTGGCTATCTTACACAGGAGGCTCACTTCCTCCCTTAGGTCTTTACTCAGAGAGTGAATGAATGCTCTTCCTAACAACTTTGACTTAATTCTTTTCACTGTTGAGGTCTCAGCTCTAGTGTCATCTCAGACAGCCTTTTTTGTTGTTATTGTTTGTTTTTTTGTGTGCTCATCCTGGGTCCTGAACTCAGAGCCTGGGTGCTGAGGCTGATCATTTTTGCTCAAGGCTGGTACTCTTCCACTTGAGCTACAGATCCCCTGCTGGCTTTTTTGGTGGTTAATTGAAGGTAAGAACCTCATAGACTTTTCCTACGTGGGTTGGCAACAAATCGTGGTCCATTAAATAGCAACCTCCTGAGTAACTTGGATTACAGAAATGAGCCATAGGCATCTGGTTTGATAAGCATCTGTTAGAGCTGACATCTGGAAATTCCCTTATCACTCTACAACATACCTGTGAATGATCCATTGACTAGAATCACCTTGCTTGTTGGTTTACATGTTTGTTTTTCTGCTTCAGTAGGTCATAAGCACCGTAAGATTCAGGACCTCATCTGTCTTATGTACTGCTTCCATAGCAAAGACAAGCATATAGTAGCACTCAGTATCTTGACTGACTGCTGTGTTCCTGCTGATGTTCTGTGAGTGTGTGTGTGTGTGTGTGTGTGTGTGTGTGTGTGTGTGTGTGTGTGTGTGTGTGTCTTAGTATTGGGGGTTGAACTCAGGGCCTAGGCACTGTCCCTAAGCATTTCTTTCTTTTATTTTTTGTAAGTTGTGGAGCTGGTACTCTGGGCCTGAGCACTATCCCTCAGCTCTTCAGCTCAAGGTAAGTGCTTTACCACTTGAGCCACAGAACCACTTCCAGTTTTCTGGTGATTAATTGAAGATGAGAGTCTTACAGACTTTCCTTCCCAGGCTGGCTTAGAACTACAATCCTCAAATCTCACCCTCCTGTGTAGCTAGGATTACAGGCATGAGCCATCGGCTCCCATCTGCCTTTAGCTTTTTTTTTTTGCTCAAGGCTGTGAATCTACCATTTGAGCCATACTCTACTTCTGGCTTTTTGGTGTTTAATTGGAGGTAAGAGTTTGATGGATTTGTCTTCCCTATCTGGTTTCGAATCTCAATCCTCAGATCTCAGCATCTTGAATAACTATGGTTATAGGTTGAGTCGTGGATGTCTGGCCATCCAGGACTCTTGTCTGCTGCTGTTCCCTTGTATGACTATTCTGCTCTTGGTGCTAGGAGACACTACACATTCTCCCTTAGGAGGCTACATTCTTGTGCTCCTATCTCCTCTGGTGAGATCAGAGGCCTCAGAAGGATGAGCTTCCTGGAGGAGCAGCTAGTTCTCAGCCTGAACTTTCATTGGAGACTTCCTCTTCAACTTGTCCATTAACATCAATCTGTTTATGCCCTTGGCCTACATAGCTTTGTGGGTGGTGTCTCCGAATGAGGCTCTGTCTAGTTCTCTCCCTTCAGATGTCTTTTAAAAACATTTTTTACTACTATAATAAAGATGATGAACAGAGGGTTACAGTTACATAATTCAGATGGTATTTTTAAGCACAAAAGAGTCTCTTTGGGGTTAGATTTTTGTTCTGGAAATGTGGAGCTCTGTTTACTCTGTTGGGAGGAAGGTGTTTGCTGCAGCTGGTGTGAATTTCCTGTGAGTCCAGAGATACATCTCTTAAAGAGAAAGGCTGCAGCCCAGTGACTCAGTCTTTCCTTAGGCCACAGCTCCCCTGAAAGGATAAAAGAAATCACAGATGGAATTGTTTTTTCAAATAAGATCTGTGAAGCTAGGCACCAGTGGCCCACACCTGTAATCCTAGTTATTCAGGAGGCTGAGATCTGAGGATCACAGCTCAAAGCCTACCCAGGCAGCAATGTCCAATTAGTGTCTAGTTAACCACCAAAAAGTCAGAAGTGGAAGTGTGACTCAAGTGGTAGAAGTAAGCCTTAAGTGAAAAAGCTAAGGGACAGCTCCCAGGCCCAGAGGTCAAGCCCCAGTACCAGCACAATACACACACACACACACACACACACACACACACAAACATACACAAAGTAACAATAACAAACTTTTTAAAATTCTAAGCCTCATTCCTCAGAATATGACCTTAGTTGGAAATAGGGTGATTGTAGTTACATGGTTAAGGGGTGTTCCTACTGGAATAGAGGGGGGCCTTAATCCTACTTTGCTGGAAAGACTAGCTCTGCAGACATAGGCAGAAATTGGTGTTATGCTACCATCAGCCATAGTACACTAAGGGATCCCAGAGGCAAGGATAACTGTTTTAATCTCTTCTAGCTCCTTCTGTTCCTTTTTTAATTCTTAGAAAAGATCCTCCCTTCCACGGAGGATTAACGAAGCCCACTGCCCATACGTGTTCTTTAACTAAATCCACTCTCCTGATTGAGAGATCTTCACCAGAAGCATTGAATACCAGTGCGTGAATACATGGTCCTTGTTCTTTGTTACTCATCTGCAATATCTCTCAGTTTGATCTGAGTTCCAGCTACATTGACACCAAAAGTTTTGTTCTGGACCCAAACTAAATACTGTGTGGTAGGTACAAAAAACTGCTCCCAGGGCTGGGAAGATGGCTTAGTGGTAGAGTGCTTGCCTAGCATGCAACAAGTGCTGGGTTCCTCAGTACACATAAACACAAAAAGCCAGAAGTGGTGCTGTGACTCAAGTGGTAGAGTGCTAGTCTTAAGCAAAAGAAGATCAGGGACAGCATGTAGGCCAAGTTCAAGCCTGAGGACTGGCAAAAACAAACAAACAAACAAACCCAAATACTCACAGTCTAATAGGGAACACAAAAGGGTTCACAGTACTATAGCAAAGTAGGCAGGACCGGTCACAGTGCCCTGAAGACTAGGCTATAGAAGCTGGACTGCAGGAGGTAGGGAGGCTATGGGAAGGGGTGCGTGTGTGTGTGTGTGTGTGTGTGTGTGTGTTAATTATCTCCTGTATTGGTATTTATTACATGAATAACATTTCTAGCCATAACAAGTAACAAGTTCAGTAACTGAATTCCCATTGACGGGTTTCACTATGACCCATTAGCCAAGTCAGAAAACACAAAAGCCATACTGACAAGAAGAAATAAAATTAAAAAGCACCCTTTCCTTGCTGTATATAGTGTTTCAACTGAAACTCAAAGCTAATATTAGATGTAAAATATACTTGCAGGATTCTTGTGGCTGTGGGTGGTTGTAAGCAGAGGATGACCAAAGCACAGATGTCTCAGGAAGGTGACTGTGGCCATGAAGGCAGCAATGGAGCCAGGGAGAGCAGCAGATGATGAGGAGGGAGAATGGATCCTTTCATTCATCTACCACACCCACCTGCAGGAGTCCAGATGCTGAGTAATCTGCAACATCTGAGCTCAGGACATTCATCATATGTAATAGTTGTTGCTGGCTGTTTTGCCACGTGCAGTGTTAAGTACTCTCTATAATATTGTTCTTTTTCTCTAGGGGAAAGGGGTTCTGAGGTTTGGACTCTAGAGCTTTATGTTTGCTAGGCTGGTGCTCTACCAATTGAACCATGTCTCCAGCCCTGTTTTTTGCTGATTGTTTTTTACAATAGGATCTCACTTCCTGCCTGAGTGAATGCCTGAATGTGATTCACTTATTCTAGACTGCCGCTCTTCCTGACATCACAAGCACACACTGCCTTCCATGTAGATGAAACCTTGCAGACTTTTCTGCCTGGATTGATTTGGAAGTGTGACCCTCCTTATCAAGCCTCTTCATTAACTAGGATTGCAGGTGTACCCTGCTCATGATCACATCAGCCTAATAATATATGGACCATAATTGCTCCATTTTATAGATAAGGATACGAAGCATAGGGCAAGAGATATGCTTCACTCAGGGCCACACAGCTGGCTACTGCTGACTGGCCTGCAGAGTCTGAAGTCCTAACCCTAGAATGCAGTGTGGTCTCTCTGCTGCTGTGAGTACGGGTGTGTGCGAGTGCATGGGAGTGCATGGGAGAGCCAGGCCTCCTGAAAGAGGAAGCTCTGACTACTCTTTTTAAGGGGAGTATGATGGTTCAGCCAGGCCCTGAAGACTAGAGAAGGGGTGGGAAGCCAAGTGATTCTAGGCAGAGGTGCAACACAGTCACAGCAAGGAGTAGTTAGGGTCCCCAGGTTTGGGAGAAGCCGGGCCACAGGTAGGGCTGGGTCTGCCTAGGCTCTACTTTGCCATTCATGGAACATCATGTTCAGTAGCTAAGTCATGCAGCCAGCTTTGCTGTCTCCAGTGTTGACAGAGGGCCAGGTAATTGTTTTGTTCACCTCTGTCAGGCATTTATACCTGGGCCAGGTGAGTCAGGGAGAAGCCCAGGATGATCCTGGGAAGGCTGTGTGCACTCTATGTCCAGGCCTTGCTGTGAAGTCTCAGCCTGATGGAGGGCTGTTGTCTGAGT